TGGCGAAGCCCGCTCATGCAAAGGGGGGTAATCTGACCCAATCGCAGCCCAACTGCTCTTAGGCCCAACCGTGCCCGGACTGCTCTTGAACCAGATTGTGGACCTAACAGTTCCTCGAACCAGTTGTGGACTCCACTATGCTTGGGCCCGATTGTGGACCCATATTGACCCAATTCCTCTGGACCACTGTGCAGACCTATAGACTTCTGGACCATGTGTAGTCCTTTAAAACCAACTCTGCACCCAACTGTTCTTAACTTCTTACCCAACAGTGAACCCAGTCCCTCTGGACTGGGTGGCGACCTATAGACCTCAGGACCGTGTGTAATCCTATAGGAACCCAACTGTGGACCCAACTGTAGACCCCAACTGTGGACCTAACTGTTCCAGGACCCATTTGTGGACCCAATTGTGTGTAATCCTATAGAATCAACTGTGTCCTATAGAACCAACTGTGGACCCAACTGTTTCTTGAACCCATTTGTGGGCCCAATTGTGTGTAATCGTATATAACCAACTGTGGACCCTATTGTGCTTGAACCCAGTTGTGGACCCAGTTGTGGACCCAATTGCTCTGGACCAGATGTAGTCCTCTAGACCTCTGGACCAGGTGTAGACCTCTAGACCCAACTTTTCTTGGAGCCAGTTTTGGACCCAATTACCCTTGGTCCCAATTGTGGACACAGGTGTAGACCCAATTGCTTTGGACTGGGTGTAGACCCCTGATAGACCTCTGGAGCAGGTGTAAACATCCGGAGCAGCGGTAAATCTCAGGACTACCATCTTCACCTGAATAGAACGCCCGGTCATTATAGCTGCATCTGGACTGAAAGTTGCCCTCATTACAGCTATAATGACCATGCGTTCTATTCGGGTGAAGATGGTAGGCGTAGAGCTGTAGACCGAGCTGTGGACCAAACTGTTCCAGGACCCATTTCTGGACCCAATTGTTGTCTGGGCACACTCGAATTCCTTGACCTCGCTGTTAAAAAACATTCTAAAAAAAGGGAAAAGTGGTCTGACCCAGTGAACAGAACGACATAGCGTGTAGATATTTAAAACATTAAAAAAATTGAAAAGATAAATTAATATCAAGAGCGTGAAGAAGGCAAAACACGTCAGAAACAACCTGGAGCAAACTAAACTCCAATCTTGGCTTTCATGTCCTTACTTCTTTATAGTTTTACTGTACTTTTACACCAAAAAAAAAAAAAAAAAAAAAAAAAAAAAAAAAATCAATGTTGGAGTTTCGAGACTTTGGTTTCCGCCCTGGTCCAGAGGTCCACACCTGGTCCAGAGGTCGACACTTGATCTGGAGCTGGAGGTCTACACCTGGTCCAGAGGTCCACACTTGGTCTTTAGGTCTGCACCTGGTGCACAGGGGTTTTGAGCATGTTTTCGCTTCACCAGTATGTCTTGACAGTATGTCTTGACAGCATATATTCAATAGAGAGAAAACTTCCCTGATAAGAACAAAGGGCCTTGCTGCACTACTATCCAAATGTGCAAAATGTACATAACAAGGTATTGGTTAATAACTGATTTTGAAGCAAAACAGCCTTCATATCGAGCTGTTAATTTGTTTCAAAGATCCACAGTGTTCAAATTGTTTTGATATTGGTTTCATCTAAACGGATATTTGTATGGACTTTTGTGTTGTTTATGTTTTGCTGCATTACCGGGGAAAAAAAAAAAAAAAAAAAAAAAAAAAAAGGGATGCCAATCGCCAAACAACTTGGGCCGGACTATTGCGACGGATGTCCTGGGCCCCAGTTGTTCGGGATCCCGCACAACCGATTTTCGGCCAATCGGGGTGGCCCACATGTTTGCGGACAGGCGGTGCTGCCTGCGCTCATGATAAGGGCACCCCAAGGACGTAACCTTGAGAGATATGATTACACACACATGGATAAACAAAGAAGAAGATGCCTTGAGCATTACTATCATGGCATACAACATCTCCTCCTCACCGAAATTCAAACCCTTCCACTCAGTACGCCACTCAGATTGAGGTAACCACTCACTTACTGGCAGTTACTGCCCTATCGTTAAATACCTTTCTTGTCTACTCGAGAGCCCTCTTCGAGTGTCGTGCCTTTGCAAGCCTCGACCTCGATCACCCGGTCTCGGGTTCCAAAAAAACCCTCAGCCTGTTTCAGAGATCGTACCGTGGCATGCGGCGCCTAGATCGCTGAGTGGGCACCCGACCAACAGCCAATAATCAAATAGATACGAAAAATAAATAATTCATCTGCTGAAGTTACGATGTCGCAGAGCTCACACGTTTCACCATTTTACGATTCGCAGAAGTACCGCAGGGCAGCGTAGGCCTTACCCGGCCAGATGCTTCCCTTTGTGACTCAGCAGATGTAGAGTCTAAATTGTCTTACTCTGCAGTCAATATCAAGGAGATCTCCGGCTTATTGCCTAGACCTCGACCATCCGGTCGTGGACAAAAAATCCTTGGCCTACTTCAGAGATCGCACCGCGGCATGTGGCGCCTAGATTGCTGAGTGGGCATAAATCAAAACAAAAACAAAAACAAAACCAAAGTAAATAAATAATTTCGTCTGCTGAAGTTGAAATAAAGCAGAGCTCATACGTTTTACCATTTTACGATTCGTCGAAGTACCGGAGGGCAGCGTGTGGCATCTGCCACATGCTTCCCTTTGTGACTTAGCGGATGTAGAGTATTTCCCTCTTCAACAGAATGTCTTACTCTGCAGTCAATATCGAGGAGATCTGCAGCCGGTTGCTGTGCCGGCTGATGCTGATGCCGAGTGTTGCCTCTTTGTGACTCAGCAGATTTGTCTTACTCAGTCATCCGAAGGTTTACAGCTGATTGGCAGCTTGATGTTGAATCCGATAAATCGTGTTTGTGACGAGCGCAATCATCCGGTCCCAAAAGGGTATGCTGTCTCGCCGTTTCATCCACCTGAGGCCCAAGACAACTACTTTTTTGGGGTAGTCCATTTCTTAAGTTCTAAGGCTAGGGTGAGTACCCCCAAGCAAACCATACCCAGATCTTTACAATTTTGTGTGATCCGGAGGATGGTATTAGCAGCAACAACAAATTTCGCCTTTTTTGGCCCATACGATGAAAAATCTTTGTAGGTCCAAAATCGTAGCAAACCAGGGGACCAGACTGTCCCCGCATTCTTGAACTTACGAGCACGGACGCAGAACCCTCATAAACGATCACTCTCGTCTCCAGGAGATCCAAAATCCTGGATCCAGAATCAGTTCGCTCAAGTACCAGTCCCTCTAGATAGCATTGTGTGGCACGATCCAGACGTCCTTCGCCTTCCTCAAAGCCTTGGGGGTCATCTTTCCGAAAAAACGAAAAGATCAATAGGTCGTCAATATTTCTTTTCCCAGTTACCAACCTCGCATCGGAACCAAGTGAGCGCACAACCTTGAATTCTGAGAGCATACACATGACACATGCAAGCGGAGGGCTTGCCCTCCCACCCGTTGGGATGCCCTTCTTCTGACGAAGGGCCGCATCTGCCAGTAGAAAGACTGTTATCAAGCTGATATTGTGTTAATTGGATTAATTTGCTTAGGCGGATGGATTTCCATCCAGCCTCGCCATGGGACTTTCCAAAGGTGGTCAGTCTCTACTAACATTCAAGCGGATCCATCTGATACCTTGTTCTGAAAAAAATCCCACATCCATATTCGGTCATTTTTGGCGAATTTTTCACCGAAACTGCCATATTTCCTTGAATTTTTGCTTCTTTTTTTGTGTGTTTGTTTTGTCTCATATGCATAAGCTTTGGGGTATATCTGTATTCAATAGTTTGTTTGCAAAAGTTTTGACAACATTGCTTGTAGTGATGCGGCGAAAAAACCCGAATTTTGAGCATTCCATTAACCGCGTGTCCCACATGCGCCACCAGATTTCCTATGGCTTTCGAGGAGTCACCCTGATATCACATGCCGAACACTTGATATACAGGGCAATAAAACTATTGCTATCTCGGCTCGTCTCTGATCTAGTATAGTCTCCTCTTAAACCACCACTACCTCCTGAAAGTCTTCCGCATTAATGGGCGTAGCTTTTGGGATGAACGAGCCTGGGCCAGTAGGCGTGATTCAACCATGTGGAACGACGCGAC